TAAGTGGTTTTTTTTTTTTTTTTTTTTTTTTTTTTTTCCAGAACCACCAGTCCTAATAGGGGGGGTGATACGAGCAGCCCCTCCTAGTTAATTGTATTTGTTATGGGAAGTTGAACCCAGTCTCCAGCAGGTGCAGCTCCCCACCAGTCAAATGGAACTTACAAAAAGGAGAATGAAAGAATAAGAAGAAGATGGCGAGAGCAAGTTCTCCACTGCGAACAGTCAACAAAGTTGTGTCCCCTAGTCAAATAAAAAGGTGCTGGGAGGCAGTGCAACTTTTATGGACCAGGTGTGAATAAGAGGGAAAACAAAGATTGGAAGCAGGCAGGAAGGAGGCACGAATCCAACCCAGTGAGGCTGGAAAAGGAAGGGAGAGAGAGAGAGAGAGAGAGAGAGAGAGAGAGAGAGAGAGAGAGAGAGAGAGAGAGAGAGAGAGAGGAGGAGGAGGAGGAGGAGGAGGTGGGTTTGGGATAAAAAACAGGGCAAGCGCATAAACACGCCAGTCAAGTTCGCAAACACCTGAACTACAATGGTCTGAGTGGACCTGGATGTGCAGATGTCCGAGTGCATGATCTGCGTGTGGATGTGCAGATGGTCAGGTGCATCCTTAATTTTGTCCTTCTGACACCAACGGACCATTTCTGTCCATAGACAAGGAGGCCACACTTTTCTTTTTTTTCTCAAATAAAAGGTTGTGTGGAGGCTTGAGGTATGGACATGGCCGTGAACAGGCAGCCATCAGGTCACCCCATAGAATACCTATACATACCCCACCCCCGACTCAGACAGACAGACTACCAGTATGACCAGGACAACAGACAACCAGGCAACCAGCAACCAGGGCAATTCCCTGTGACGAGTATATGACAATCGAGAACCCCCATACAACAGCCTACACAACATGATGGACCGTCCCCCCCAAGGGGTACCCGGCCCTAAGATGGGAATGCACCGGGTCCAATCGAAGGGGACCTTCCAAGAGCGGGTGCAACTCGAGCTATTAAGCCTACTTGCAGCATGTGCCACAAGGAGCTTCCAAGAGCGCTGCGGGTGCAATTCGAGTTATTAAGCCTACTTTCAGCATGCGCCACAAGCACTCCATCTGTGTGTGGCCAGTCTCGAACCCGCAACCTGTATCGTACAATGCAGGCCCCAAGCAACTGGGCTCCAAATCTGTGCGCGGCCAGTCTCGAACCCGCAACCTGCATCTTACAATACAGGCGCCCAAACAACTGGGCTCCAGACATTCGCTGTGTGCAAATGGCCATGCGTCAATGCAGGCACCCAAACAACTGGGCTCCAAACATTTGCTGTGTGCAAATGGTCGTGCGTCAGTTAACGCCCGCCGGTGCCCATGCGTGAGGGTGGGCGGTTTGAACCCACACCCTCAGACCACAATGCGCATTTCCAACCGGTTCTCTACCCGCTACAATCACAACCATTTTGTTCCGACATGTTGGTTAACTGCCACAAAATTTGGGGTAGGGCCAACCGGCTGGAGAAGGCCGGCGTCGGCAGGCAAATTGCATGCTGTGCTGGCTCTGCAGGAATTGGTGCATGACAGAAACCCGTGTTGAAAACGAGGCTCAGAGGGACTGGTGGTTTGAAGCACCAGTACGTTTCCCAGCCATTTTTCTCCGACGCTGTTGTTAATGCACCACGACTTTCAGGGCACGGTGTACTGGAGCAAAATCGCTGGCGACACCAGCCACAGAAGAAAATGCGCCAGTTTGCCTTTTTTGGGAACGCAGGGTGTTCCCAGGCTTGGCAAGGGGAGGTTTATAAGTACTGGTGGTTTAAACTAAACAATGTCCAATCCATCCAGTTTGTACTTTTCCCGGTTTTCCATCCAATCAGTTGAGATAAGTCAAAATGCGTTTCGATGCTATCCTCACGGCAGGGATCTTGTGACGAACCACTTTCTGTAACGCGCGAGTTTCTGCATGGTTGCAACGAGGGGTCCTAAGCTGGGAAGATTGGGCCAATTACGGGAAATCGGGATCGGGGGAAAATTGCATCAGTACCCTGGCTTCTTCGTCTTTTTCGTCGCTTCTTCGGGGCTGGGTGTGTCCTGGGAACGGCCGGTTGAGTGATTGGTCGGATGGATGTCTGGCGCGTCGCCATTCGCTCGCGCGAATTAATAAATGTTAACGTCGTTTCTTTCGGTTCGGTTTCGATCTTTTGGGCGCGGACACCTCGCGGGAAATTGCTGCGCTCTTTTTAATTTTCTTTTGAAACCTTTTTGAATTTTTGTCGAGCCCCGATGGCTCTCGGAATTTCAGACTTTCCTTCTGGAATTTGTGCCTTTTGCTTTTTCGCATTAGATAGGAATTTAGGAATTTAGTAATTAGGATTTTTCCAGCTGCGCGGCGCTTTTTGCTCACGCGCTACGGAGAATCGGCTATGTCCGCGGGAATTCCACTGTGCCACCACTAGCGACCCTCGGTGCTCTGATTTCCCTTCCCCCCACCACACCTACTACTTCACCCACCTAGGATTCTTTGAGATCACCACCAGTTTCCCTCCTTTCCACCTCCTTCTCCCGTATCATCAACTCAGTGTCGTTCCGTGGCCAGCCATAGCCCCCTATTGGCCCAATACGTTTTGCGTGAACTGCCGACACAACGGCGCGCAGAGCACTCCGGAATTCCGGAGGCCCAACCCAGGTACGCGGCGGCCTGCGCCGCGTGGCGGCCCCCGACGGCCTAACTTTTCAGGACCACCTCCACCACAGAGGAATTTTCCCGTAACCCGTCGCCCACAGTGTCCCGGCCCCATTGGACCGTGAGTCCCTTGCGCATGCTCGCCTAATTGCATTCATACCCTTAAGACTGCCCCACTTTCGCCAAAAATCCTTGGCACACCCCTTTTCGCACTATCAGGCCCATACCGCACTCCGATCAGGCAGTCGCGCTAGGCGTGAGGTTGGTATTGGAGCCCGACACGTGGCTAGGGTCTTAGGATTGATAGCACGTTAATTAAGCGACCTGGCTAACCGTGGGCGACCTCGCCCTCGGAACGTGCATAGACGCGACCCTATCGTCACCAGAAGCAGATCGGCTAATCGACGAGCAGCCAATATGACTGCCAACGTGCAAAATCCAGTTCCGCAACAAAATGTTAATCCACCTAATCAACCTGCCCCACGTGCACGAGCTCCCATGTCGCCACCAGATCTCTATCTATTTGATCCAGCGCACCATCTCGCAGGAGCATGGCTGGCCACGCTTAGAGCACAACAGTACGATGATCACGAAGCACAGATCAATATTCTGGCTCGAATGGGAGGACACGCTCATCATTGGTATAGTACCTATGTATGGGTGGATCTCCCGACCTTCCAACGGGATTTCATGAATCGATTTGATTATGTCCACCCTGAGCAAGCGCTGTACATGATCAAGGATCGAGTGCAAAAAACGCTCGAATCCGTTGCGGAATATCGAAACCGGTTCTACCGAATGTTCGTAAAAACTGAGCGAGGTGAACAAGTAGGGAGAGATCTGTTCATTGGCGGACTCCGCAGCCGGACAATAAGGGCTAAGTTGCGAAAGCAGTTTTTCCCCATCACCCATACGCTACAACAAATTATGGCTGTTGCGGAAGAAATGGAACGGAAGTTCGCAGCGAACTTCCTGAAAGGAGAAGATTACCCTAGAGATGGAGATTCGACCGAGCTCGCTCGAGCAAGAGCAGAGTTGGCGGCTTTACAGAACAAATTTGAAAACATGGGGTTTGTATCAGGACCTGTCACCTATATGGAATAGATAGGCCCCAAACGAGTAATCATAAGTGAGACTCCGAGCATCTCTGCTCCTATGATGCCCCCGCCCGTCAGGACATTACCCCCATTGCCGGTAGAGGCCCCTGTACGATCAAACGAATCGGCGGCCATTTTCGAACTAACCAAAACTTTGATTAGTTTGATCCAAGAAAGTAAAAAGGAACAACGAGAGCACAATGCTCGGCTGGAAGCCATGATGAGGAACATGCGACCTATTGCGGTGCGTGCCCCTCCGATGCAACAAGGATTAGCCCCTTCCCCTGCTCTCGGAGGAGTTGCGAACAATCTGAATGTTTGCTACACCTGTCATCAGCCCGGACATCTAGCCCGTGATTGCCCCCACCGACCCCCACAACAGCAGATCGGAGTCGCACCTATGGTTGCGGCCCCCATCGCCAACGGACCTGGACGAGTCGGAGCCTTGATGGAAGAAGTAGAGGGTGGGGGAAGTGCCTTGGCCACCACGGAAGAGGCCGTCGAGCTAATTCCGCTATATCAGTATGTGTCGCTGGAATATCTGGGGCTAGGAATGATCGGAACAATCAGACCAGCGCCCGAATTGAAAGAGGCGGCGGAGTGGCGACCGTCCTTAGGAGAAATGGAGTCGGGAGGACCCACCTTCGTCACAAGAGAGATCGATGTGCTAAACATCATCCGAGCCTTGGACCATCGGATTCCCCTTCTGATCGGTCATCTACTCTCGATCTCCGAGCAAGCCAACGAGCGAATGTCACAGCACTGTAAAGCGAATCGAAAGCGATTCGCTCTCGTTCGAGCACCGAACGTCAAAGCCAAAGGCCCGCGCCGGAAGAAAACCCAACAAGCACCCCGGATCTGATACGGATAGGATTAGTTCAGAAAGACGATCATTTCCTACGGATTAAACCCATTCCGTGAAAATCCGCAGAGTGCGATATAGAAATTTGGGGAATTCCTTACAACGCCATTATAGACTCAGGAGCAGCTGTGTTGGCTATTTCACTAAGAGTGGTCGAAAGGGCAGGCAGGAAAAACGATCTTATCATGCTCACCGAGAAAGATCAGCTCATCTCGGCAGATGAGGAAAAGATTAAGACTGTGGGGAGAATGACCAATATCGCCTTCCGATTAGGAAAAGTACACGCGCTTGGGGATGTCGTAGTACTAGATGTTAATACGTACGACGTTCTTTTCGGACTTTCCGCTCTTGTGGCGTTACAAGCAAACCTGGATTTCGAACGACGATCGATCGTCCTCCGAAATACAGGAGGAAAACCCTACGCGGTGCCCATGCAATTGACCCTTCGCACTACTATTAACGCGGTTCCGCGGGTTTCGCCAATGATGGCAGGGACTCTCCGCATGATTTCCTGGGACGAACCCGCAGAAGGGAAGCCATCAACTGCTGATGATGCGGAAAGCAGTGACGAAGATGATCCGGAGATCTTGAAATTGGTACGACAACGCGTTTACTACCCGCCGCCCAAAACGATAGCAAGAACGATGCAACTGACCAGCCGAAAAGTTCAAAGAACCAAGACGATGATCTTGGGAGAGCCCCTCGTGCAGATTTCGAGGATGGTCGACTCTTTGGAACCCCCTCAAACTCTGTACGAAGGAATCACCCCTCTCCTCGCCCGGTACAACGACAAGAAGCATTACTGTGACATTACGGATCTATCCAAATCCTTACTAACGTCGGCCAAAGAAGTGAGATTGTTACGCTTGGGGGCGGAAGCAAGCTTTCTGGAACCCCCTGGGCGTTTTGAAGCAGAATTAGACGGACTGGGGATAAAGATCGCAACTAAGGAAGTGCCATGGCAGGATGTCTGCGACGGGATTACCCCGGAAGGACACGTGGCAATCTGAGAAGAAGATGCTCAGATGATGGCCACGGTGTTCTCCTGGCGATCGGATCATTCATTCATCTCGGCGCCTCCACTCGACTTGACAAAACAGGCGAACACGAAACAGATTGACATTCGGATCTGGGACCAACTTTTTGAACTGCACGTTCCACAATATGTGTCGGATGAAATCCACCGGGTAATTGCGGATATTCTAACGGAATATCAAGGAGCGATTAGTGTGTCAGACACTGACATTGGGTTGTCGTTAGTAATCCAACATGAAATTCAGACAGGAAATCACTCCCCGATTCATTGCGAACCTTATCGCTATTCCTTGATTGAACGCAAAAAGGCTCTCGAACTAATTCGGGAGTTCGAAGCCAGCGGTTGGATTGAACCCGCTATCGGACCTTGGTCCTTTCCCGTAGTATTAGTGCCGAAGAAAAACGGGGCGATTCGCATTTGCATTGATTATCGCAAGCTGAATGAAATCACGATCAAAGATGTGTATCCCCTCCCCCGGATTGATGATTTGTTGGATGCGATTGGGTGCG